AGAGAGAGAGAGAGAGAGAGAGGAACGTACGATGAATAGGAGGAAAACAGCAAGGCAAATATGCAGAAGATGCATATTTCAGAGACAAAGGCCAACACATGAGGGAGAAAAGAAGAGAGACAAAATACTATTAATAATCATACAATGCTTGCCATGAGCCCACTGTGAAATCTCTGGAGTGTATTTACACTAAAAACTAATAAATGTCTGACTGAAGACTTAGATTTACTGTTTTCATTAAATATGTAGATGTGCATTTTCTGTAATTTATACTAATAACTATTAAATGTGTGGCTCAAAACTTAGCTTTACTCATAATATTAAAGATTTAGCTGTACATTTTAGCCTATGTAATTTGCACTAATAATTAACAAATGTCTGACTCAAGACTTAGATTCATACTGTTTATATTAAAAATGTAGATGTGTGTTTTATGTAAATTACACTAATAACTAATAAATGTGTGGCTCAAGACTTAGATTTACTGGTGCTAATTACATAAACAACTAATAAATATGCCACTCAAGACTTTACTGACAACTGATAATATTAGATGTACATTAATTACATAAAACGTACGATGTAAATCTTTAATATTATCAGTAAATCTAAGTCTTGAGCCACGCATTTATTAGTGTAAATTAAATTTACACTAATAATAACTAATAAAGTCATGGATCAAGACTTAGATTTACCATTTGTATTAAAGATTTAGATGTACATTTAATGTAATTTACACTAATAACTAATAAATATTTGGAGAGTACTTATTTTTAAATTTAGATGTACATTTTATATTATTTACACTAATATCTAATAAACGTGTGGCTTTAGACTTAAGTTTACCAATTATATTAAAGATTCAAATCTACATTTTAAAGCTTTTAATATTTTCTATTCATAAAAAGTGTGTGTGCGTGTCTGTGCATGTGTGTGTGTGTGAGTGTGTGTGCGTGTCTGTGCATGTGTGCGCGTGTGTGTGCGTGCGTGTGTGTGTGCGTGCGTGTCTGCGTGTGAGAGTGTGCGTGTGTGTGTGTACGTTTGTGCGTGTGAGTGTGCGTGTGTGTGTGCGTGTGAGTGATAGTACGTGTGTGTGCGTGTGAGAGAGCGTGTGTGTGTGCGTGTGAGAGTGTGTGCGTGCGTGCGTGCGTGCGTGCGTGCGTGCGTGCGTGCGTGCGTGCGTGCGTGCGTGCGTGCGTGCGTGCGTGCGTGCGTGCGTGCGTGCGTGCGTGCGTGCGTGCGTGCGTGCGTGCGTGCGTGCGTGCGTGCGTGCGTGCGTGCGTGCGTGCGTGCGTGCGTGCGTGCGTGCGTGCGTGCGTGCGTGCGTGCGTGCGTGCGTGCGTGCGTGCGTGCGTGCGTGCGTGCGTGCGTGCGTGCGTGCGTGCGTGCGTGCGTGCGTGCGTGCGTGCGTGCGTGCGTGCGTGCGTGCGTGCGTGCGTGCGTGCGTGCGTGCGTGCGTGCGTGCGTGCGTGCGTGCGTGCGTGCGTGCGTGCGTGCGTGCGTGCGTGCGTGCGTGCGTGCGTGCGTGCGTGCGTGCGTGCGTGCGTGCGTGCGTGCGTGCGTGCGTGCGTGCGTGCGTGCGTGCGTGCGTGCGTGCGTGCGTGCGTGCGTGCGTGCGTGCGTGCGTGCGTGCGTGCGTGCGTGCGTGCGTGCGTGCGTGCGTGCGTGCGTGCGTGCGTGCGTGCGTGCGTGCGTGCGTGCGTGCGTGCGTGCGTGCGTGCGTGCGTGCGTGCGTGCGTGCGTGCGTGCGTGCGTGCGTGCGTGCGTGCGTGCGTGCGTGCGTGCGTGCGTGCGTGCGTGCGTGCGTGCGTGCGTGCGTGCGTGCGTGCGTGCGTGCGTGCGTGCGTGCGTGCGTGCGTGCGTGCGTGCGTGCGTGCGTGCGTGCGTGCGTGCGTGCGTGCGTGCGTGCGTGCGTGCGTGCGTGCGTGCGTGCGTGCGTGCGTGCGTGCGTGCGTGCGTGCGTGCGTGCGTGCGTGCGTGCGTGCGTGCGTGCGTGCGTGCGTGCGTGCGTGCGTGCGTGCGTGCGTGCGTGCGTGCGTGCGTGCGTGCGTGCGTGCGTGCGTGCGTGCGTGCGTGCGTGCGTGCGTGCGTGCGTGCGTGCGTGCGTGCGTGCGTGCGTGCGTGCGTGCGTGCGTGCGTGCGTGCGTGCGTGCGTGCGTGCGTGCGTGCGTGCGTGCGTGCGTGCGTGCGTGCGTGCGTGCGTGCGTGCGTGCGTGCGTGCGTGCGTGCGTGCGTGCGTGCGTGCGTGCGTGCGTGCGTGCGTGCGTGCGTGCGTGCGTGCGTGCGTGCGTGCGTGCGTGCGTGCGTGCGTGCGTGCGTGCGTGCGTGCGTGCGTGCGTGCGTGCGTGCGTGCGTGCGTGCGTGCGTGCGTGCGTGCGTGCGTGCGTGCGTGCGTGCGTGCGTGCGTGCGTGCGTGCGTGCGTGCGTGCGTGCGTGCGTGCGTGCGTGCGTGCGTGCGTGCGTGCGTGCGTGCGTGCGTGCGTGCGTGCGTGCGTGCGTGCGTGCGTGCGTGCGTGCGTGCGTGCGTGCGTGCGTGCGTGCGTGCGTGCGTGCGTGCGTGCGTGCGTGCGTGCGTGCGTGCGTGCGTGCGTGCGTGCGTGCGTGCGTGCGTGCGTGCGTGCGTGCGTGCGTGCGTGCGTGCGTGCGTGCGTGCGTGCGTGCGTGCGTGCGTGCGTGCGTGCGTGCGTGCGTGCGTGCGTGCGTGCGTGCGTGCGTGCGTGCGTGCGTGCGTGCGTGCGTGCGTGCGTGCGTGCGTGCGTGCGTGCGTGCGTGCGTGCGTGCGTGCGTGCGTGCGTGCGTGCGTGCGTGCGTGCGTGCGTGCGTGCGTGCGTGCGTGCGTGCGTGCGTGCGTGCGTGCGTGCGTGCGTGCGTGCGTGCGTGCGTGCGTGCGTGCGTGCGTGCGTGCGTGCGTGCGTGCGTGCGTGCGTGCGTGCGTGCGTGCGTGCGTGCGTGCGTGCGTGCGTGCGTGCGTGCGTGCGTGCGTGCGTGCGTGCGTGCGTGCGTGCGTGCGTGCGTGCGTGCGTGCGTGCGTGCGTGCGTGCGTGCGTGCGTGCGTGCGTGCGTGCGTGCGTGCGTGCGTGCGTGCGTGCGTGCGTGCGTGCGTGCGTGCGTGCGTGCGTGCGTGCGTGCGTGCGTGCGTGCGTGCGTGCGTGCGTGCGTGCGTGCGTGCGTGCGTGCGTGCGTGCGTGCGTGCGTGCGTGCGTGCGTGCGTGCGTGCGTGCGTGCGTGCGTGCGTGCGTGCGTGCGTGCGTGCGTGCGTGCGTGCGTGCGTGCGTGCGTGCGTGCGTGCGTGCGTGCGTGCGTGCGTGCGTGCGTGCGTGCGTGCGTGCGTGCGTGCGTGCGTGCGTGCGTGCGTGCGTGCGTGCGTGCGTGCGTGCGTGCGTGCGTGCGTGCGTGCGTGCGTGCGTGCGTGCGTGCGTGCGTGTGTGTGTGAGTGAGAGTGTGTGCGTGTGGGAGTGCGTGTGAGAGTGCGTGTGTGAGCGTGTGTGTGTGAGTGCGTGTGTGTGAGTGATTGTGTGCGCGTGCGAGTGAGTGTGTGTGTGTGTGTGTAAAAAGTTTCTCTCCAAACCAAACTGAACTTCTCAAACGACCCGGAGGATTTAAAAATCATAAATCATTAATAATTTTATATGACTGAAGGACGTCCTGGTCCAGCTGGCCTCATTGTTTATGTCATATTATATACTATACTCACTTCTCCGCTGGGTTTCTCCAGACTGGCGGTCTCTGGCTAATTTAAAGGCTGTTTTGGCCGTTTTTCTGAGGGCAGATGGTCAGACATGAGCTTTAAAGCCCAAATCCCCTCAGAGAGCACAGGATTACCACATTTACTCTCCAGCATCTTCACCTTTCCTCCTGAAACAATCCCGACAGCTTTCCAAACGTCTCTGAAGCGTCTCGAGTCGCGTTTCTGTGAAATGTTTGTCTTTATCTGCGCGCTGACGGAGGAGTTTGTGCGTCTGACGGTTTAACGGACGCAGTTTAAAAAGATTTAAAAACTCTTGTGGCGCGATTAATAACATCCTGCGCTCGCGTTCAATTTAAGTAGCAGTTTAAAACTACTAGATCCAACAGATTCACTGCACACTTACACAACAACGCGGAAACGTACCTGTATTGGTTCAAAGACCATCTTATTCCATATTTTCTGTTTTCCTCAAATCTGAGCGCGAGAGAACCCAGAGCTCCTGTATTATTCAGTATAATCTGCGGGAGGAAACGGGGCGGGGCAACAGATACGAGAGACACGCCTCCCTCATGTGCATGTGCGCGTTCGGGCCAATCAGAGACAGCAGGGCGGATTCTTTACTCCGCCCATCCAATCAAAACAGATGTGGCGGGTTATTTCTCTAAAGATTTAGAAATCATAATTTTTTCTTTTTTTTATGAATCATAATTTTAATTAACCGCTTTACCCTGTGGATTTTTTTCTTAATAAAAATTAACAGTAATTAATACACGTGTTTTTAAATAATAAATATATTTATTTTCTTATTTGCAGAATGTTTGAACGTTTGAAATGTCAGTAGGCTATAAAGAGAGAGAGAGAATCTCATTATTAAATATAAATATATTTTACATGTATTTATTTGTTATTAATTTGCTATGTTCGAAATTTAATAATCTAATTAAAATAAAATGCTCAAATTATATTCTGAACAATTCTCATAACAGAATTAAATATATTTTATATTTCTGTATTTGCAAATATTTGACATTTCATTATTTATTTATTCATTATTAATTTGCTAAATGTTCGAAATTTTATAATCTAATTAAAATTAAATGCTCAAATTCTGCTCAGAACAATTGTTTTCATAACAATTAAATACACTCTATATTTATGTATTTGCAAAATGTTTGAAATTTATTTACTGATTTATTTCAAATGTTCAGAACTATTGTTCTCATAACACAATTTAATAAATATATTTATTATATTTTTTTGAAAAATGTTTGAAATGTCATACTATAATCAAAATATACAGGTGCATCTCAATAAATTAGAATGTCGTGGAAAAGTTCATTTATTTCAGTAATTCAACTCAAATTCTGAAACTCGTGTATTAAATAAACACACACACAGACACACACACACACACACAGACACACACAGACACAGACACAGACACAGACACACACAGACACACACACTCACACTCACATAGACACACACACAGACACAGACACACAGACACAAATACATAAATGTCTTCACTGCATATTTACAGAACAGGATACAAGTATTGATATCGTGTTATGATTTTTTTTTGTCAGCACATTTTCCTTTTGATCTTTTGAGATAAGAGTGCATTGTAACATACTGTACATTTCAAAGTTCCTCTCCACTCCACTGAGACTAAAAAAAATATTTTGGGTGATCAAAATCTTTACTAGCAGTGTGTTACTGTTCACTTGCATGTAGAAAATGACGGGAAAAACGGTGTTTGGTATAAATCTCTAAGACCTCTGAATCCCCAGAGATATTTGTGTCTGTGAGGGTTTATAAATGTCAGAATAACAGCAAATTTTCCAGAAAAGACATGCTCAGTGTCCAGCACACACCATACTCCTCCGCTCCAGTGTGTGTGTGTGTGTGTGTGTGTGTGTATGTGTGTGTCTTTTTAGGGACAGAGAGAACTCCGCAGGTCAAAGGTCACGCTGGGACTGAAGCAGGACGTGGGAATGGGGCGACAGGAAGAGGAGGCAGTTCCTCAGTGTTGATCTGCCCTGAAAAACAACAGAAATAAAGAAAAGAACAGATGGAGGGATGTTGTCTTTACCATCAGACGAGACGAATATAATTATTATTATAATGTGACACACTTTAATGCTACTAAGTGCTATGTGCGTTTACAGTGAGCTGAGGCTTGCAAACAGAGTGAACTTTACCTGATTTTCTACTTCAGCGTGCTCTGTGCTGCTTTGCCATCTGCATGACTGTAAATACAGATCCAGATGTATTAATCTGATTTCTTCCTGCCTCTAACCCTTGTGTGTGAGTTTGATTGTGTGATTATGTTGATCTTTGTAAAGAGGAACCTTTGCCTTCTGCTGTCACACAGCAGGTCCATCTGCTCTACAGCAAACATCAGATGTGTGTGTGTGTGTGTCTATGTGAGTCTGTGTGTGTGAGTGTGTCTATGTGAGTGTGTGTGTGAGTCTGTGTGAGTGAGTCTGTGTGAGTGAGTCTGTGTGAGTGAGTGAGTGTGTGTGTGTGTGTGTGTGAGTCTGTGTGAGTGAGCGTGTGAGTGAGAGTGAGAGTGAGTGAGAGAGTGTGAGAGAGTGAGAGTGAGTGAGTGTGAGAGAGTGAGAGTGAGTGAGTGAGTGAGCGAGTGAGCGAGTGTGTGTGTGTGTGTCTGAGTGAGTGAGTGAGTGAGTGAGCATTTTAAGAAGTGCCAGCACTGTATGGAGATGCCTTACTCACTTATGTCTCTAAGAAGTGTCACTTAGTTGGACAACACCATCACTTCAGTTACATGCTTCAAGTACCAACTTTTTGTTGTTTAATATTGATAAGAACCTAATAACGTAGCTAGTGTGCAAAAAGTGACATGTTTCTTGTTA